CTTGCCTATGACCCTTTTCACCGCATCTCTTGCAAGCCATTGGGCCTCTAATCATTTTCTTACCCTTAGCGTTGGTTGGAGCAGTATCACCTGCATTAGTAGCATTGTCACATGCATTGGTAGCACTAATGGTACCCTCACCATCTTTCCTACCTCTCTTCTTGTGTCCACCTTCAAGACATCCTTTTATCCTAAGTTTTCTTTGTCTTCCACTTTCTCTAGGATTAAGAGGTGCACCAACAACAAATGGCAGCTGCACATGTGGCCATTGTGATCTACCTATCATTGGCTCAATCTCTCTACCATAAGCAGCCTTGAATTTATCCACTGAGTAGTAGTCATGCACAAATTGTTCAAGGTACACTCCCCGTTGTGAGGTTACAAAGGCCAATACATGTTGACATGGCTTACCAGTGTGCTGCTATTCAAGACAAGTACAAGTCCTTTGATGCAACTTGACAATATGCCTTTTAGCAATATTCTTACTGTGGTCCCAAATCTATGCACTCCAATTAGCAGCTGACACAACTTTCAAGTGTCCCAATCCTGTAGTGTTGGCCTTTAGTTGAACCATAACACCTGGAAGTATCCTCCCAACTGGCAGTCTATCTGCAATATTTCTCCTCTTGTTTCACAATCTCATAATCATCTCTCGAACCTTATTAGCAAGTTCAGCAACAGGTAAGTCCTTAATGTCTCTTATCCAATTATTAAAAACCTCAGCTATATTATTAGTGATGTAGTCACACTTGATATCTGGATTAAAGCCACACCTATACCACAACAGGTTATGGTAGTCACTTAACCATTTCACCACTTCTTGTGATTCACATTTGATTGCAGTCATATGCTCAAAGAATATATCTTGATCGTATGCCCTTGCTGCAGGATACATCCTTCCGAACCCTCTAAACTTTTTCTGAAATTTTTTCATAAGATAAAGAAAGCATTCTCTTTGCTCTGCCTTTGGGAACACACGCTTCACTGCATTCTCTAAACCCTTGCATGCATCTGTGCACACTGCAAGGAGTGGAGGATCACCTATGGCCTTCTTTAGTTGGGTCATAAACCAAGTCCAATTGTCCTCTATTTCAGAAGCTATAAACCCGAAAGCAAGTGGGTACATCCAATTGTGACCATCAACTGCTACCGTTGAGGCTAAATGGCTATTCCACCTTCCATTAAGTGTTGTACAATCTATGCTCAAGTAAGGCCTACATCCTTCCAAGAAACCATCAATACATGGTTTAAGAGCACAGAAAAAATGATGGAAATAAACTTTACCATCCACTTCAATCACCTCAATTTCCACCACACTTCCAGGTGACCTCTTCAATACCTCAGCCTTCCATCTGTACAGCAGCTCAAAACTCTCTTCCCAGCTACCATAAACCTGCGCGGGAGCTATTTCTCTACCCCTCCAGACCGTGTCATATGAAATTGTAACAGAGTGCTCTTTCTGCAACTTTTCCTGCAACTCTTTAGCACCCATATGAGGATAATCCCTGCGGATACTAACTGCCTTGCTAGCTACCCAGTTACGAGATGGTGTAATAGTTTTCACCCTTATCGTGGAAACACATGTATGGTGATCAGTTAAAGCTGTGACCTGCAATTACACAATTTGTGAGAACTATATGAAATAAATTCAACAAATTAAGTAATCTAAATCTGAACTACATAAAAATATTTTCACCTCTACAGTGCTTGCGCCCTTATGCTTCGAACCATTGATTTTCCAAGGGTAGTCACCAGTGAACTTGCAGAAACCTCTAAACCTGGTCGGATCAGACTTCTCAGTTCCCAAATCAAACTCTTCGTTGATAGCAAATTGCCGCACTGCCATCCGAAGAAATCGCAACTCTTTTCCGTTACACATAATGAATAAAGGGTTTCAAAAGGCAATTTTTCTTTTCAATATCTTTCTTTTTGTTTCAGAATCCTATTTTTGTTCTTCCACCCATGCAATAGAGAGCGAATGAGAAAAGAGGGGTTTTCCCTTAAAAAATAGGCTTTGAAATAGAAATCATGGAATAATGCTGAATTCAACTCTTTCATAGATGGGTAGATAGTGCCAAGGTCCATCTTGGGGTGATCCTTATCATATGAAATCACCAAGTCACTTGGTATAGCATCACTAGTAGGAATTGCAGCATCATTATCATTATCGACACTCTGCATATCCATTGCTCGATCATTTGGTGCAGCCACATGTGCACTCTCCTCATCTCTAAGCCCTAAAAGCACAGATATTTGATTTTCACTCAAAAGTTCAATTCTTCCTTCCTCATCGCGTGACTCTACTATCTGCAAGCTGTCCTAGTCAACTTGTGGTATAGGATCATCAACCTCCATATCAAACCTAAACCAAATATCGTTTGCAGTCTACGGTTTACACAAAAAAAATTTGAAAAAAGAAACAAAAAAGCAAAAAGGCTACATCACCACACCTCGGAGGCAGTGCACGTTGCACCATGTCAGGCAGCGTCGAGGGTGCAGAGTCTCCGTCGAGCGCAGGTGCCAGTGAAGCCACATCAACGCCGGTCAGCGAGGGCGCGTCCACCACGAGGGATGGACTAGGACCCGGTGGGGCGCGTGACGACGTTGGGGCTGCATCTAGCCTGCAGCAAGCTGAGCGCGCCTAATGTGGGGCCACGACGAGGGGCGGCGAGGTCGCTCCGAGTTCCACCGTGGTCGTGCCGACGGCTGCCGAGGTCGCTCCGAGTTCCTCCATGGTCGTGCCGACGGCCACCGTGGTCGCGGCAAGCGCTGGTGACGACGTGGCGGCACTGAGCACGGGTGGTTGTGTGGCGGCGGCGAGCGCGTCCGCCGGCGGTGCCGCGTCACGGCTGCCCTACATCGTGGACGTCTAGGGCACGCGAGTGGCGGTTCTTCGTTTGCTAGTGGATACGGATGTGAACTGATATTTCTGACGTCTGACGCAGCCAAGGTGCGAACGGTGATTCGCACGACGTCTCCCAGCAGCCAAGGGCAAAAATGTCTTTTCGCGTGGAGGACAATCCCAAAAAAACAGGAATAAAGGAGCTAAATAGTGATTATGGCAACAAAAACAAAGTGTACATATTTAGGCTGGCAATTTTGCGCAGTCAATTTTTTGAATGGTAATTTTGCGAAGCCCATTGTTTGCAATGTCAAATAGCCAATTTTCTCATAATTTTGTAGGAGCAAAACTAAGGTTAGAAACTGAAGGAGCAAGAATGCCAAATATTTAAATGTCCCAAGATACGGATAACATCTATCTTAGGCTGTGTTTAGTTGGAGAGAAAGTTGGAATTTTGGTATTGTAGCACTTTCATTTTTATTTGGCAAATAGTGTTCAATCATGGACTAATTAGGCTCAAAACGTTCGTCTCGCGATTTCCAACCAAACTGTGCAATTAGTTTTTTTTTCGTCTACATTTACTGCTCCATGCACGTATCGCAAGATTCGATGTAACGGGTACTATAGCACTTTTTTGGAAGTATTTTTGGAACCGAACACGCGCTTACATTGTTGTCCTGCAGGAGTTCTCTGAAACGATATTTCTATTTTAATGGAGGGAGTACCATGCCTATAGAGGGGTCGTCCAGTTAATTACCGTCACAGGACGTGCTTGTATTAATTAAAAGTTGGTTCCACTCAAAGGGTACATGCACTAGTACAGCGGCGATTTTTTCTGGTGGTAGCCATTTTTTCACTAGCGGTTCGTAATGACCAAGCGCCAGTAAAGAGAAATCCATGGGCCAGGGTAAAGAACCGCCTGTGCAAACTCATTTACACTGGTGGTTCCTCTAATAAAACCGCCAGTGTTAATGGCGGGAAAGTTTAAACACTAGCGCCTGCTTAAGTCAACCGCCAGTGTTGGCCTAAGAAAACCGCCAGTGTAGACTATTTATCGTGGCGGTTATTTAATAGAAACGCCTGTAATAAAACTACTATAAATACTGCTTCTTCCTCCCCGATAAGGAACTGTTCCGCCGAGCCATCTTCTATTGGTGGCGAACTTGGAGGTCCAAAAATCATGAAATACAAAGGGGAGGTTTTGCTCCTCATTTCTTTGAAGGTGGTCGCTGAAGAATGTTAGTTAACGCACAAACATACAGCCGCGGCAAAAGCTAACTAGCATCCGATCCGATTGATGTGTGGGGTATATTTTTGGCGTCAACAGCGTCCACACTGAAATTCTCCAATAGGTCGTTGATCTTTAAATAATTTTTGTACATGTACATATATATATATATGCTCAAGTAAACTAGAGGATAACTCCATGCAAAATTTAGTACTGACCCTATCTAGTTTTATTTGCTCTTTAATAATCTGAACTAGACATTGTAAGGGCGTGGACTAGGTCTCGTAACATTTAAGCAATAATATCCTTAAATATAATCTACTAGCAAAACTGATATTACGTAATTCTTCAGTCCAGCATGACAATATACAATGCAATAATGCATGATGGCGAAGTGAGGATTTATCACCATGATTATTCCTAAGTCTGTCCACTATATCTTCTCTGTGCAGAGATGCCGTCAGCTAGGGGGTGTCAACAGGTACCACACATGCATGATACACGGGTGCTGAGTTACTGACTTTGACTTGGCCACGCTCCAGCTAGCAGTCAGTCAATCATACTGTATTACTGTATCTGCATGATCACATGTTAAGCATGCAAGGTCCATGTAATTTTTTTTAGGGAAGCGTCCATGTAATTAACCCTAGAGACCGCCATCAAATCAATCGAACAACATGACCCATGTACAACCCCGGCCCAGCCCAGCTCACATCCCCTACCTGGATATCGACCCGGCCCAGCCCAGCCCAGCCCTCTATGGAGCCCTATAAAAGGCACCCCATCCTCTCCATCTCAGCTTCGTGCCAGCTTGAGTATATTCCACTTTGCTAGCTAGCTTACTCAGCTGTGGTGCACTCTGCACTAGCCAGCTGGTGTGTGTAGGAGTGTAGGTATCAGCTAGCTATAATCCTCGCCGTTCCGGCGACCATGGCGGCGAAGCAGCAGGCCGTCGCGGCCTCCGGCCACACCAAGATGGGGGAGGAGAAGCTGATCATCCGGCGGGAGAAGGTGAGGTTCATCGACGTCCTGTCGATGCTGTTCCTGCGGCGCCCCATCACGAGCTACGCGTTCGTGGAGGCCGGCGACCGGACCGCCGCCGACTTCGGCAGCACGCCGGGCGACTGGCTCGTCGCGCTCACGCAGCTCATCCAGAAGGCGCTGGACGCCGCCTACTACCCGGCTCTCGTGATCGGCGCCGTCGTCGAGTTCCTCCTCAACTTCGTCGCGCTCAACAATGGCATACTCGGCATCTTTCTCAACATCTTCAAATGTACGTTGGTACACATGCATGAACGGTTTATATACATATACATGAACTAACATCGATCGCTAATAAGGTTATATTGTTTTGATCTTGTTAATAATTCATAAACACCGACGTTATATTTATAACATAACTTGATATTTATGTGACGACAAACATGGCACAAATGTATGAATGTACTGCGTGCTAGCTAGCTAATAAGGCTTTGCACATGATCAACTGAATAACCAGCTTCTGGACCTTTCAAAAAGAACTTCTGGCTAATTTGCAACAAATATAATGCAATTTAAATCACAAAATGAAGAATGGTCTATAAGCACAGGTTCTAATTACTCAACACTAAGTCAACCGCCGTGTTATAACATGCATCGAGAGAAAAATGCATATTGCTGTGTGCGAACGTCACAGTATGTCGTCCGTCATCAAAAGGCCGGTAAAGTGACAGAACAGTACAATATGACCCCAGAACGTCTCCCTCTCTTCCTCTCCCCATTGTCTTCCCATTCCTCATCTTTATTTATAGATTCTTTTCATTTCTTTTGTTACAATTTGTTTCTTTTTTTCTTTTTCTTTTTCTTTTTGTTTGTCTCTTCATTACATATCCTTTTGCTAAGCTTACTGTTTTAGTTTAAGCATTTGTTTGTGCTTAGCTCTTTGTTTCTCACATGTAGATTCTTTTTTCTTCGAGCCATAATTAATAGAATCATTATCTTTTTGCAAGGAAAGGTAACCATTTGTTTGTGTTTTTTATTTTCTCTTCTTTATGGTTTCCCTTTCTATTTTTTTGTTAGTTTAGGCAAGCATGTGTCTTGGACAAGATCGAGCTCTCAGAAACTACCCACACCTGCTCCTCAATTTTGTATTGTCCATTTGGCAAGTTTTGTTTGTCGTTCACATGCATGACACTTGCACACATACAGTATGATGAGAAGATAAGTTTGCATAGTAATCCAACACATGCATGCAAGATCGGATGCATGAATATATAATTTCAAAATAGTGATTAAATTATAAATGCCAAGTAAGCGCCCGTGCATCTTTATTAAAAATTAAGAAATGCCAATGGACGCTATGGGCAGGTAAGCTGGTGATCCCACACCGGGAGGCGCCCAACTTCCGGTCCATGATCGGGCTGATCGACGGCAGGACGGAGCTGAAGCCGCTGCCGGCCGGGGGCGGCCCCGAGGACCGGCGGCTGCAGGTGGTGGGCGTCTCTGCCACCGGCGACGACGACTACTACGTGGGCGTGGAGAGCGGCGGCGGTAGCACGGGCACGGCAGTGGTGCCGCTGGTGCAGCAGCAGTACGTGAACGGGCGGCTGATCCGGCTGCGCACCTTCAGCATCTTCGAGGTGAGCATGATGGCCGCCAAGATCGCCTATGAGAACGCCGCCTACATCGAGAACGTCGTCAACAACGTCTGGAAGGTACGGTTTTATATTACAGACGACCTATAGCTAGCTACAGATTGTTGAACGATTATTTGGAAATCATACAGAAATTTTAATTAATTTGGGCAGGAAGTTAGGCAAATTTAAAATCATTTTTTTGGAATAAAAAAAAGAAAATCACATTTTTCGCATAGTAAAGTAATCTTTTTGGGATCTCAAATGACAAGATGATTCTTTCATGGGACGACAACGACAAACGAGTTTCCATCGTCGTTCAGTTCCTGCTCCTGGACAGCTAGACTTAATAACTTAATAACCAGTGGTCTCTGTATTTATCTCCAAATTAAAGAGAGAAATAAATTGGTCTGAATTTTTGCTCCAAGCCCAGCAGCAAATGGTTGTTCAGATCACAAGGTTGCACACTTGCACCATCCATACTTGCAGTTCTGTGAATAACACATGGATTTTTTTTTTAACCTAATGAATGAGTCCTGATGAGAATAAACTGTCAACTTGTCAATTATGCATGACGACGGCAACACTAGTGCAGAGTTGTAGGTATCAACAAGGACACCAATCATTTTGGGACAAGTAGACAACTTCTTCCATGCATCAATCAAAGCCATGGACGACGCTAGCTAGCGCTTGCAATCTGGAGTTTCTTCGATCAAGATCTATGCATACGTACCTGCCCCATATATATAAAAACGTTCACAAGTCACTGCTGACTGTCACTATCTCACTCACTCCATAACCACGTGCATCTAACTAATCTGTCATAAACAACTCTTAGATGCCACTTGCCACGCACTGTCGTCTAATCTGGCCACATTAATTAATTATATGATGATTAAATTGCATATATACACACAATATTCTCCAAGTGCCAAGAAATTACCGCCCGTATGATGATCTACTCTAGTAGTATTTGTTAATAACAAGCTAATGGATCTTGGTTCCATCTCTGCTGTGTGTCTGAATTTGCAGTTCCACTTCGTGGGTTTCTACAACTGCTGGAACAGTAAGTTCAATTCGATGCAATAATTCATATATATGCGGAGTGAAACAATTCAAATAATCAAGATCTACCTGGATGAAATATGCAGAGTTTGTGGGCGACCACACGACGCAGGCGTTCGTGTTCACCGACAAGGCGAGCGACGCGAGCGTGGTGGTGGTGTCGTTCCGGGGCACGGAGCCCTTCAACATGAGGGACTGGTCCACGGACGTGAACCTCTCATGGCTAGGCATGGGCGTTCTGGGCCACGTCCACGTCGGCTTCCTCAAGGCGCTCGGTCTCCAGGAGGAGGACGGCAAGGACGCCGCCAAGGCGTTCCCCAAAGCCTCCCCCAACGCCGTCCAGGGCAAACCCCTCGCCTACTACGCGCTGCGCGAGGAGCTCAAGAAGCAGCTCAAGGCGCACCCGAACGCCAACGTGGTGGTGACCGGCCACAGCCTGGGCGGCGCGCTGGCGGCGATCTTCCCGGCGCTGCTGGCGTTCCACGAGGAGCGCGACGTCCTGGACCGCCTCCTGTCCGTGGTCACCTACGGGCAGCCGCGCGTCGGGGACAAGGTGTTCGCCGACTACGTGCGCGCCAACGTGCCCGTGGAGCCGCTCCGCGTGGTGTACCGCTACGACGTGGTGCCCCGTGTCCCGTTCGACGCGCCGCCCGTCGCCGAGTTCGCGCACGGCGGCACCTGCGTCTACTTCGACGGCTGGTATAAGGGCCGGGAGATCCCTAAGGGAGGCGACGAGCCGAATCCGAACTACTTTAACCCCAAGTACCTGCTGTCCATGTATGGCAACGCCTGGGGCGATCTGTTCAAGGGCGCCTTCCTGTGGACCAAGGAGGGCAAGGACTACCGCGAGGGCGCCGTCTCACTGCTCTACCGCGCTACCGGCCTGCTCGTGCCGGGCATCGCGTCGCACAGCCCGAGAGACTACGTCAATGCCGTCCGCCTCGGCAGTATCGCCACGGGCAAGGAGGAGGTCTGATGTCACCATCGATGACCATGAGAGCTAGCTAGCTAGCTAGCTAGCTTGGCTTTGGATGTCACTGCGTGTGTCGGTGTGTGGATGGACTGTGCAGCAAGAGGAAAGCAAGCTGGCTGTGACGTACTGCGTGTGTTCATTTCCATGTGTATCATTGCAATAATTGGATGAAATAAACAGCATTAAGCTTCAGTATTATTGAATATATGCATCCACTCTCCTCTACAAGATCATGCATGAACATGAAAATGGCACGGCAGTCCACGTTGCTGAAATACAGTTCTAGTGCTTGGAAGAATGTATCAAAACTGTGAAGCATGTCCATGTGCACTCTTGTACTTCCCTGTTGTGAGTTGTGACTGCTTGCCTCTTGTCGCGAGACGATTCAGACTGTGCTCACTGTTCTGTTCAGCAGATCATCACTGAACTAAGGGCCCGTTTGGTGCGGATTCGGCAGCTCCGGCTCCCACTGCGTTTGTACTGTAGCAACACTGTATGGCACTGTTAACCAGAGCTGATTTCCTCTCTCGTCTCTCCTCTCCTCCGGGCGCTGGTGGAGTTGAAAAAATTGGCTTCACAGGCTCACATGCCTGGACAATTTATTATTATAATATGCACACATGCCTCGTCTGCTTATTTTGTTTTTTTAGGTGTACAATTCACATGGTTGGCCTATAGCAGACGTCAAATTAAAATGCCTTTTAATTTTCTCCCAAGTTGGGACAATGTGATATTTCTTTGTGACGGTAGATAAGAAGGTACAATATAAATAAAAATACAAGAAAAATAGTAATACGATATCGATCATTGTTAAATCAACAAGGGTCGTAGGCAGTAGTTTCGTTGGTCTTGTATAGCTCTGTTTGGAATTTGCTGTGGTCAGGGCTGCTATTTGTTATCTATCTCCGGAGAGCGGATATGGGCAGAACAGCGGAATTCCCACGCATCTCATAGCCTGCTTTTGTATTGGGCCCAAGAGCCCAGCGTGCCAAAGACTTGCATATAATGCATGGCCCATGAGTATCTTGTTGCATTCCTCTTCTACTACCTGGTTGTCACCTAATGGGAACAATTGAATGTGATCGGTTTTTAAATTTTTTATATTTACTAGGTAGCGTGTCCGTACGTTGCTACGGGATAACTTACAATTTATACTAAAAACACACGGATCGCACGATAATATAACAATACTGTTAAATTAAATACCAACGTTAAAGTGACATTTAATCCAAAACGCAAAGTTTATAAATTTAACATAGTCACAGAGTGCGCGGTGTCGCAGGCTCACAAACTCTAGAGCTTCTAGAGATTGGGTCGAATCCAACCTAAAGCCTCGGAACCCTGCATCTTTTCCTGGACGGGCTTCACTTCGGATGCGCCGGTAGCAATACCAACGATCTCCAGTCGATGGACCAAGTCGTATAGATCCCCATACAATGACTCAGACATGTAGATTTTGTTCTCCTTATATTTGGATACACTTGTTCCACTGAAGCTTTCATTGAAATGTTTAGACACGAACAATGTCTAATCACCGATGTCCCTCACCCTAGACCACTCCGGCGTACGGTCGTGGAGGTTGCACCTGTAGATCGCGCTGCTGTAAGTGAAGCTCTGTGTCTCGTGGAACGTCCCACCATGGCACCCACAATGTGCAGCTCACCGTTTGATTCCAGGTAGCTGCGGTGGCAGAGCCCCGCAGGTGGCGACAGCGATGGCAGCAGCGTCGCGGTTGGAGTAGCGCCGGCGGCGTTGCTGCTGTAGACGGGGATTTCAACAGTGCAGTCGATCGCCAAGAACTTGTCTTAGCAGTGGACGATGGACCCCACGGAGAACTCCAGTTTGATGTCGAGCAGCGTCCATGCGCTATCGACTCCAACCCGGCAGAACGCGACCTCCGTGGAGCACCCAAACATGGCCATGGCCACGCACTCGCGGCTGGCGGCGTCAGGCGGCGCCAAGAGCACGATCTCACGGAAGAACACGTCCCTAATGTCTTCTAGCTTGATGGCTCTGCATGTGGCATCCGCGTCCCCGTAGCCGTTGGTGGGATGGAGTACCCATCGGCCATGGACCCTAGACACGTGTTCCGATGAGGACACCGCCGCGACGTGTTCGCCTACTGACGGGAGCTCAACGCGGGGGGCACGGGCACCGGCGAATGGATTCAGTAGCGTCACGGACGCCGCCTCGTCCATGAGCGCCAGCCACCCACACGAGGAGCCGCACGCCACCTTGCCGCGCACGTCGGGCAGCGTCTTAGACAAGAACTTTTTCTCCGAGACGCAGTAGAAGCCGACGCGGTCCGAGTCGAAGTCGAACGGGAGCAGGAGGAGCGGCCCGAAGGTCGCGAACGGGACGGCGGCGCGCCATAGGGAGCAAGCGGATCGGAAGAACGCCGCGTTGTGGCCTGACGTGAGACGCTGCCCGATGGACTCGAGAAGATCCTTTGGCAAGCCGGATCTCCAGTCAGGGAGATGTATGGAACTTCTCTTAGGATTGGGAGGCTGAGCCATGGAAAACAGATGACATCAATTATGGTTCACGCAAGAAACAACAAGCGAGGGCGATGGAACACGTGAGCGTGAAACCAAATGAAAGGAGAAAAAAACTATCCCTTTTGCAAATGCAAAGAGGGGAAGTAATTAAATGTAGGCAGATTTGGCAAGGTTCTCAGAAATGCAAAGAGGCTCCCTTTGTCTTAATTCTCTTTCCTTCTGTGTTAATTCTTTTTTCTTTTGCTCGTTGCCATGTATGCTGGTGCATGCAAACATGCAATGTGTATATGGATAGCACAATAATTTTTTACTTCCTATTTTGCCGTGATTCCTCTATCACATGACAGGCAATATTCAATCAAGGAGATGTCGTGGGATCGTAGGCGTGGGCAGACGGACGAACCAAAACAAATGTCGCACCAAAAAATATCCACACTTTGTTCTTTTTAGTTGTAGGATATATATAGGATATAGGAGTCCTTTGTGATGCCTAATGGCACCAAAAGATCTGCAATATCATGTGTTTGGAAGGCGAGGGGACTCAATGACGAGGGAAAATGATCTAGCATTAATTCGTAATCATTTCATCAGGGGCAGTGGATGTGTGTCTACAAGAGACAAAGATGGAAAATTGGACTCCAACATTTCTCAAATAAATAAACGTTACCGACATCATTTTACATGATCATTTCATCTGAGGTTATTTAAAAAATTCAAAAAATAAATAAATTTGAAAATGTGAGATTTTCAAACAGAATTGATGGGATCTAAATGATTTCAAATGAAAAGTCATCAAATACAAAGTTGTACATCTCTTTAAGGTATGCAACGTTGATATAAAGTTGTCTTCATCAGGCTTTGTTCGAAAAAAAGTTATGAATTTGACTGTGCTACACCGATTTTTAGAGAGACCTCTAGTTCCAACTGCCTTCACAAGTCGATTTCTAGAGACGGCTCTAGATTCAGCCGTCTCTAAAAATAGGGGCATTTTTAACAATTGATTTCTAGAGCTGGTTGTTTTAGAAACTATTTTTGGAGACGATTCTAGATAGAGCCACCTCCATTGAAAAATTAGAGGCGTTGCTAAAAATCAATTTTTGTTGTAGTGCAGGCCGTTCAAATGGAGATAGATTCGGAGAAGTACATTTAATAAACAGAAAGGACTACAGGGAGGGCGCCGTCTCAATTGCCACTCTACCGCGCCACTGGGCTGTTGGTGTGCCTGGCCTGGCATCGCGCAGCTTTTAAGACTACGTGAACGCTTAAGCACAAGAAACATTCTTAGAACAAAGAGTACGAATCTAGAATCCTACAACTGCGAGCTCTGCTCTCTCTCGGCTGAAGAAACGGTTCAACACCTTTTCCTACATTGCCATTTTACTCATCAATATTGGGGTCTACTGAATCTGATTACCTCCCCAAATGATGGAATCTTTGAGAATGTATTGGCCTTCAAGGATCATATTCACTCCCAATTTTTTATGGTGGCTGTTATCCTCATGTGCTGGACGATTTGGATGGCTAGAAATGATCTGATCTTCAATGGAAATCAGATAAGCTTGCAATACTGCAGAGGATTCTTCTTCAAGGAAATTCTGCTGGTCTCCTTAAGGGCGAAAGCAAGCCTTTCAGTACTTTTTGATCAATGCATTCAGAGTCTTTGACTGATCCCGGCCTTAGTCATATCTTTTTTGTTTCTTTTTGTCTCTTGAATTTACTCTTTCCCTTAATTTTAATTAATAAATTTTCTGTAGAGGCTGCGGCCCCTCCGGTTTCCAAAAAAAAAAGACTACCTGAACGCCATCCGCTTCAGCGGCATCGCGACGGGCAAGGAGCTATGATGATATTGAATTCTTCATGATCTGCTAGAGCTACCTACTATGAGCGGTATGAAATAGAGGAATAAGGGTTATTAGCTTTTTGCTGCAACTGCGTGGTCATTTTTTCCTGGTGTATCTTAGCAATAATTAGAACAAGTGCTGCTTACGTGGACATGGCAGGCCATGTCGCTGAACAGTTTAAGGGCTTACGTGGACACCAGCTTAACCTAGCAGACGCCAGAGTGAATAATACACATGCTTAACCTAGCAGACGCCAGAGTGCCTTTTAATTTTCTCATGGTGGGACAATAAGGGATATTTCTTTGATATGGTAGATAAGAAGGTAACAATATGAAGTAAAAGATACAAGCAAAATATTAATATGATTCTGTTTGTGGTTAAATGAACAAAAGGTCGGCAGACTATAAATCTGTATGACCTTTCTTACTTTCTTACAATGGTCAAAACATGGGAACAGAGAGACTGAAAGAGCAAAGGTGGAGAAATTGATGAAAAAGGGAGCTGAGTTCTAATCTTCTACTTGTATTAATTTTCTATGACGACTCCTGTATCTCCAGCTCAAGTTACCCAAATTTCCCTGTTCTGTTGTGCATACGTCTTTTCTTTTTCTTAAAAAAACTGTTTTGTGTGTTAGGTTTTGGCTGCATGAAAAAAGGATAGTAAT